ACAGCTCCCCACTGGGGAAATGTTAGTCTCACACGTCAGGTGGTCTAATAGCAGACAGAAGGAGCAGCATGAGCTGGCAGAAGCCCAGGATCCCACAGCAGCAGCACACACAGAACAGCCAAAACAATTGTACGCTCCTGCTTACAAGCAAGAGGTCAGCTGGAGGATGAACCCAGGGAAACCCAAAGGCAGACCGGTAGTCTTGCAGACCTCAGAGCCCACTCAGAAAGGGAGAAGAGAAGAAACTTTGACTGGAAGAAACTTCAACTGCCCTCACAAAAAAAAAAAAAAAAATCAGTCCCCTCAGAAGGCTACTTGCAAAAAGTGTGAAGAAATTTCTATAGTGGGTTTCACCCAAGAAAAAAGTCAAAGGATAGAAAGACCCCCAGAATAAAGGCACCTCTGGCATTGCCCAGAGCCAAAGGATAATGCAAAACAGACCATGTGTGGACCACAACACTGATGGAGCGCAACTGATCATGAGTGCAGTTGGGCAGATTTTAGAAACCAAACTGATGCTTCAGCATGAATTTTGTGTCCAGAACTTAAATGAGAACAAAGAGAAAGAATGTCAAGACACAATCTCTCAGGTTTCTTGCATCTCGGAACACAAGTGAATGCCAGGATACGCAGCCATCCCTATGTCCCACAGCTGTGCTATGAAGGAGAGGTACTTCTGTGAACAAGAGTCCTTGAAAACTAGACAGTGTAGCACTGGGCATCAGGGCCAGATGCTCCCCCACCCCTCAGTCCCCCAGAAGCTTTCCCTGGTCAGCCCCTCCAAGCTTGGGTCCCCTGGGCCCAGGGCACCAGGCCAGCGTCATTGCCTGAGGCACTCTTCCCTTTGGAGAGGTGTCCTAGCTGAACAGCAGAAAAATTCCTGACACATTATTCTCAGAAGGAAAAGCCATCTCCAGAAAAATAAGTGGCTATGTACAGGAAAATGACTTTCTCAAGCCATTCATTTGTGATATGTACTGCATTCTAATAAACTATTTTTCTCCTAAGAAGTAAGTGGCTAGGTCTCCTCTGTGCTTGGTGTGGGCTCTGGTGTCTGGAAGGGACAGAATGTTGAGGAGGGTGACCAGGGTGCAAGCTCACCTTCCCCTGAGCTCCTAAGTTGACTCTTGTTTTCATCATTACAGAAACACAAAGAAACTCTAAAAGCAAGCCAAAGAACCCCAACTATACCCCACCATGGGCTCTGGTTCAAACCCTTTCCACTGTCCCTCTACCTTAAGGCAGCTGCAGGAACCAGGGGCCTAGAAACATCTTAGGCTGAAAACTCCCCACACTTTCATCAAGGGTAGGGTGATGTGGCTCCACCAGTCATAAATGGGTGGCACTTGCTAACACAGGGAAGCCCCTCCTGGACCTAGCAATGGTCACGGCAGAGATAGTCTATGTGATTCAGTTTTGACAGAAAGCTCAGAGCCTCCTCCCAGGTCCTAGGCCTACCTCAGGCTCTAGAGCAGCAGTGAGGATAGGAAAACCCAAATGGTGTGAGGGCAGTCCTGCTCACGGCTCATTTGTCCTGGTCCATCTCACACACTCAGTCCCAGTCAGCATTTTGGGCAATGGAACAGGAATATGAGGCCCAGTAACTGACTCAGTCACTGCAGATAGTGTGGGATGTGGGAGAACACAAAAGGCTGGAGCCAAGACTGAAGCAGAGTAGTGCCAGCCCAGTGTGAATGCTGCAGGGGACAGTGCACTCACAAGACACCACTGTGGTCCAACAGCAGACTGGAGGTGACATCAGGGGCTAAATGGCTCCTCCTTGCACCACTCCAGGGCCCGACCTGATCCAGATCCCAGATCCAGAGAAAGCACCTTTAGCTCCCACAAAGAGCCAGAGGGCTGGGTTTGAGAGGGAGCAGAGCTTGCTGCTGAGGATCAACAACTTATTAATACCTTGTGTACCCTTGTGTATGTCCACATCCTGCAGAGAGGATGAACTGACAGTGGGCAGAAAATAGAAGACAAGACCTGAGAGTCTGGCAACCTTTCACATGGGTGCACCCCAGGACTGCCTATAGATGGGGACCTCTGAAGGGTTGAGGGTCTGCCCTGTGGTCATACAGCCAGTCTTGCCTGGCTCCCAGCCGTGTTTGACCCACAACCAGGAGAGTCAGTGTACATGAATGTTGTGCCACACAAAGGCTGGGAGTGGCCTGACCTGCTTTCTGCAATCAGGGATGGTCCAGGAGGAGTTGCTCTGTCCTCACTGTTTTTAACGTGGGTTTCCCTTCCTGTAGGCCTTGGGCCTCATGCAAAACCAGCAGGGCTCAAGAGGCAGGGAGAGGAGCTCCCTCCAAGAGCATTTCCTGCACTGTGTGTCACATACGGCAGCCACAGGCACCACACCTAAGGCCTCAATCCTGGGGTAAAGTGTCCTGCAGCAAGCACAGCTTATTGGGACATGCAAAGGGGACCTGCCCCCTTCAGTGGGAGTGGATTGTACCTGGGGTGGAGGCAGAAGTAGGCACCCAACCCTGGGGTCCTACGGGTGGTACTGCAGGTTGCCCTGCAGCCAAATCTTTTCTCAGGGACATGGAGGCTTCTGTGCCTGTGTTCATACCCAGTGTGGACCCACCTATGTGAGGTGCCAGCACTGATAGAATGGGCTGGGCCGTGTGGCACAGCGTGTCCCTGTTCCCAGTGGCAACCGTGACCATAGGAGGAACTACGCCTGGGTCCTTCTGGGTTCTCTGGGTTCCTAATGTGTGTTCTGAAATATACTGAGGTGGATATGGTCCCATTGCTTCTGCCAGCATCAGTGCCATAAGCTGGCTAGGCCGGAGGTGGAATACAGAAGCAGCGTGCTCCTCTGTCCTAATGCTCAGTCTCCACAAGGGACCATGAGGTCTGCTGTGCAGATTCAAGAGACATCTCACATCTCCTACAGAGGCAGCTCA